GGAAGGGAAGGGGAGGCTTTTGAAGATGCCTTCCCCCCTTTTTGCTTCCCCTTCTGACATCACTTCAGGTGATGTCAGGGGGCAAGGCATATGCTAATAGTCTAGTAGTTCATTAGCATACCTTATGCTAATGAGCTCCTGCAGCTCTTTTTCTACGAAATGACCCCTGGATACTATGATGTACCCAATAAGGCTAAATGGGCTTGACTTAGCTTTAATGACATAAGATACTCAGTATTATTCTATTATATGCTTTATTCTAATAATAGTAGGAAGGACTAATAGGTAACTTACATGTAACATGATCCTTGCTATATCTCTTGTTTTATTAGCATTAGTATCCCTTATGTCCCTTCCCTATGTAGTCTGTAGTAAAAAAGCAATAAAAATTTACAAAACAAAAAACGGGCAAGTCAACACTTATATAATAGGAAGGGTCACAATAATAAAGGATGTTGCCAATACTGAAATTCCCTGGTTGTGTTTTACAAATACACATGGGATTTCTGGCAAAGAAATGGCCAAAGACTAGAATAGAAGAGACTAGAATAGAAGACTAGACTAGAATAGAAGACTAGACTAGAATAGAGACTAGACTAGAATAGAGATTCTCATTCAAGCAATCCAAAGTCTTACAAGAGTTCTTAGTTACAGTAGGAAAGTGGCCAAATGGCTAAAAAGTTCCTAATTTTAATGTTGGGTGTGAATAGAAGAGACAGAAAATTGAATGCTCTTGGTTTCTTCTCCATATTTCAAGAATTACATTCTCTTTTTTCACTTCTGTGTCATTGCAAAGACACAGAAGTGAAAAAAGAGAATGTAATTCTTGAAATATGGAGAAGAAACCAAGAGCATTCAATTTTCTGTCTCTTCTATTCACACCCAACATTAAAATTAGGAACTTTTTAGCCATTTGGCCACTTTCCTACTGTAACTAAGAACTCTTGTAAGACTTTGGATTGCTTGAATGAGAACATCCAAGAAAATTAGCATGTTGGGGAGAAGGTGAGGCTAGGACCCTTATCCCTGACATGCTAGAATACATCACAGGCTGCATCTACAATGGAGATGTGAAAACATGCTGCGCCACTCTATGGCTGCAGCAGCAAGTGATGCAAAGAACCACTGGGGCACCCCTATTCTTAATTCTCTTGCAGCTGTTTCCCATCCCAACAGCTTTCCCCCATTTCTCAACCATGCTTGTGCAAAAGTAGAGACATGATAGCATTTTTGGCAACTTCCCCCACCTCCTAGAAATTCCCTTTTCTCCTTCCTTTCCATTTTCCTACTGAGCTGTTCCGTAATGCTACAACATGACTCCACAAGGAAAGAGGGGGAACACCTTTTAAAAGCATGTGGCAGCAAGCCCACTTCCCACAGCCAGTGTGGGAGAAGCATCCACATAGTTTCTCTTTCTGCAGCTACTCCACAGTTTCTTCTTGGAACTGGAAAACTTGAGGTTTTGATTTTTTTCCATCTTAAAGGAGGAAAAAAGAAACCAGATGAGCTATGGTCTGACTGGGCATCATGTCATATGGATGCTTCCATATACTGCAGGGGTTTCCTGCTGCTCTACAACTGAAAGTGGTACAACATTTTAAGGGTTTGCACAACACACTGAATCTGTTGATTGTGTAGCTCAGTTCTACCTTGCGCTCACCTGTGAAGTTTTCACATGTATTATTACTCTGACAATATACAACAGTTTTAAACATGCGTGTGTGTATGCAAAGTATGCACAAAATATGCCAAGACAAGACTACCTGGTACAGGTTGTTTCATTTATCCAATATATATTGTTTAATGATTTATTGGATAATTGAAACAACCTATACCAGGTAGTCCTGTCTTGGCATACTTTGGGCATACTTTACGCATATCATCTACACACTTTCATTTTAAAGTCAAGATCTCATGCTGCTCCCTTTGAAAACAATGCAGGTTTTTTGTTGTTTCATCTGAACAAGTCTGAGTATTGTTAGACATGATTGTTAGACATGAGTATTGTTAGACATGAGTATTGTTAGACATGATTTTTACTAGACTAAAAATGAGCTCATAGGCAGAATTTTCTTAGACTCAAAGAAGTTTCTACATTTTAACCAGTAGATGTCTCTGTTCCACCATCCAAGTAGTTGCAAGCCCAGCTGGTCTTCTTGCAATGACAAAACTGCAATAAGTGAATACATACTTAATGCATATTCAGCAAAAGCAGCATTTCATGTTCAAACAATCAAGAGGAGTTTATTCTTATCTGTAACAGGTCTCACCGCTGTTGTTGAGCAGAAAATGTGAAAGCTGGTGAATTTCCACTGTTTTGCCTCCTTTGAAATTCAGTAGAGGAAGACTATGCCAGGCCACTTATTTCTTTTCAGCAATACCAGAATCTATCTTTTTTTTGTGCTGCAAAAAACCTTGTCTTTCTGCTTACCTCTCAATTACTCTTTATTGCCTTCCTTCCTTGCCATATCTCTCCCCCCAAGGCAAGTAAAAATACCTCATTTAAGGACCATTAAATTTAACGTATACACATGAAACATGTTTTGTGTACCTGTAATGTGTGTGCAAACATGTGTTTATCAATGTGTACACCATGCCATACTTGACCGTGGTCCTTGTTGTCCACTGATCCAATGGAAGATATGCATTTGTAGTATTACAATGTCTGAAGTGTACCTATGGTCATTTTATTCTTCTGTTGCTATGACAACAACCCCCTTTCAATTTCACTGACTCCTTGCCAGCTTCAAACTCCCACGCCTTATTTTCAAATTTCAAGTTATCTGGACTATGTCTTCTCTGTTGCCTCCTTTCTCTTCTTACCAGTTATCTGTACCCTATACCCCAAACATCATCATTCTGCAGCAATGTATTCCCTTCAAATCCCTCCCTAAGACCCACAATATCAATAGCTTATCTTTACCTCATCTGTACCCTTATTCAGCATAAATCTTTTCCTTCCCTTTCTTGCCCATGGGCCAGGGGGCATGCCCTTTTACTTATGTGCTTTGTATAGCATCAGAGATATTACTGCTACAATTCATCTCTCCAAGTGAAACATTTTTAACTTTCTCTTCCTTCAAGGAGCTCAGAGGGGTATATATGGGTTACTCTTCCACCATTTTATTCTCACAAGAATCCTATGAGGTAGGTTAAGCTGAGAGAGTGTGATTTGGCCAACAGGTCACCCAGTGAACTGACATGGTCAAGTGGAGATTCAAACTCAGGTATCAACCTGGACCTAATTTGACTGCATTATCATACTTTTTTTTTTTAATCAATGGGTTTATTGGGTTTTCATACACAATAAACAAACATACACACAAACAAACAGACAAACATTTTTCAATACATCATATTACTTATTCGATTTGGTTGTTCCTACATTACTTATTTACTCTACCCTTTTGCTTTTTTTAGTTTTAAAGTTTTTATTGTTTTAGGAAAAAAGGTATTACATAGTTACTTTTCATCAGTTTGTGTTACACTACAAATCAGAGTCATTTTCCTTTAAATGTTCACATTACCAGTTGTTGGGATTGCGTTTCTGTTACAAAACCATGATACAACTTTTCTATTACAATTCCATCTGGTCTTCTATCCATTTGTATATTCTATCCCATCTCTTTTTATGTACCATCTCATTTTTATTTTGTATCCTTAAACTTAAATCATCCATTCTGGCTACGTCTAATATTTTATTTAACAGGTCTTCCCTTGTAGGTAAAGTATCAACTTTCCATTGTCGGGCTATTAATAATCTAGCTGCAGTTATAACATAGCTAATAATGTCTGCATCTTGTTTATCATAACCTCTCGGGATCATATTAAGCAGATACATTTCCGGCTTTAGGGCCACATTTTTACCCAGACTTTCTTGGAGCACCTCCCTTACTATTTTCCAGAATTCCCTTTTGCTAACCGACTATAATCATTACCTGACACATTTTCAGCTATTTTTACTCATCTTCTCTGTTTAGTCACTAAGCATCCTTCATTTTAACAAAATTACACATTCCTGAGCTTTATCTATCCAATCTAATCTTTTACTTATTTCTGTTCCAAAATATCATAAGAACATCCCTTAGCCTTCTCCAATTTAACAACATACTATTTCCTGCACTTCTTTACTTTCCCCCTCATATTATCAACTAATCAAAATAAGACAACACTGCCATGTTAACAACACACTAATTTACAAAGATCTGCATAAAACTGTTTACCTAATTGCAACTTATCTTCCATCAATTTATAGAATACAATCCTAAAGCAACACATAAACAAACACACTTACAGTCTATGTTTCTTGTATTTTTATCTTTCTGTAATTATTTCCCAAGTCCATATAACTTCACCAACAATAATTTATATGCCAAAATAGCCAGCAATTTAATCATAGGTATAACTCATTTTATTTTTACCAGCGAACATTCCCATTTCAGTTGCTTTACAAATAAAATAGCCAGCAATTTAATCATAGATATAACTCATTCTATTTTTGCCTGCAAAAATTTCCATTTCAGTTGCGTTACAAATACCAAAATACCAAAATAACATACCCTTTCACCCTAATTTATAATTCATTTTTGCCAATCAACGGTTTCATTTCCATTCAATTTATAACATCACACCTAACATAACCTAAATTATATTCTTATCAATCCCATATATATATATTTAAGAAAAAATACTGAAAAGCCATAGCTCTGAGTTACAAAACCCTACAAATACCACCTCATCTGTTCTTCTTAATTTTGACATTTCTGTTATTTTCATTAATCTTAAACATATGTATTGTCACCAACTATATAAAATATCAAAACAATTTATGTACTCATTCTCTTTCTAGCAGGTTCCATTTCTACTAATTTAATGCAGATCAATTGAAACAAAACTAATTTATTTTCTTGTATATCACACTTCTCTCCTCCCATCACCACTACTTTATAGCCATCTATTCCGGATTAAGAGAGGACCGATAATTTTTTAATACTGCTAACCAACACAATAATCCTATTCTCCAGCTCTTTATTATCTCGGTTTTCCCCATCTTCTTCTCGGTGCCGTAAGTCCTTGTATTCTTGCACTTTCTTTTCCAAAAGGTCTCTTACACCATCGTTCGTCTGTTTCCTTAATTGTTTGAGTGTTTTCCAAATCCTTAGAGCTTTCTTTAGTCCTTTATCTTTTGTTGTTTTCTTTTTCCCTCTACAAGGAAGTTTTAGGGGACATTTTTTACTTGCTCCTTTTCTTTGTTTCTCTAGCATACGTGTGTGGGGGTCTTCTTTTTGTATCTCAAGGTTTGACGGCAATATCTGGGTATTGGAAGTCTCTCTCTCCTGCTCCTGCTCCCGTTTCTTTTCTTCCTCCCTTCCTTGCATTTCTTGCGTTATTTCTTTCATGTCTTTTCCTTCTGAGGTTATGCTCTGTAAGGTTCTCAACATATTCTCACAAGCGTTTCTCAGCACCTTCTCACAGGTTGCCTTAATTGCTTGTTTCGCTTCTATCATCAAAAAGTTTTGCAACTGTTCCCACGTAAGCTCGGCGTTTTTAATGTCTCTGTTCATTTCCTCATTGGTCTCCTCCTCCTCCATTTTCTTAACTTCTCTCCCGTCCATTTAAATTTCCAATTATATAAATTATACAGCTCCTGAAGAATGACGTATGTTCGGCAAAAGATGAGCAAAAAAGAAAGGCAAAACGCCCTTACCCCACTTCAGTCTCTTCAATCTTCTTTCCCCCGACATTTTTTCCGGCCGTAATTCTCATGTAGGGGGCTACTTCTCCAATGGGGTACTCCAATTCAGTCAGCAACTGTTTTTGCTCCATGCAATGTTTAAAGGAACACCTTTATAGTCCAAGTTGAAAATACAAATAAAAACGGATGGTCGCTTCTGGTGAACATGGCAGCCATGTTCTCCTGCTATTTGCTTCAGCTTTGGGGCTGTTCTGGACACCTCCCCCACCCTGCCGATTGCAGGGGAGGGCCAAAAGGACGCCCCCTGCGCCAACCCCCATCTCCGGGGAGTTGGTCGAGCTCCCCCGACTTTCGGGGGGGGGGCTCAAATAAAGCAAAAACAGTTCGGGCAGGGACGGAGCCTCTAGCTCCCGCCCATCCGTCGATGCACTGTACCGCTTCTCTGACTGCATTATCATACTGATTGTCTTTATTGACTGTCTTTTTGTCCCCATGATGTTCTGATGGGTAAACTAGAAGACTGTGGACTGGACTCTGGGATAGTTAGGTGGATAGGGAACTGGTTGGAGAACCACACTCAGAGAGTAGTTGTCAATGGCATTTAATCTGAATGGAGGGAGGTACCCAGTGGGGGTCCACAGGGCTTGGTTCTGGGCCTGGTAATTTTCGATATTTTTATAAATGATCTAGATGACAGTGTGGAGGAGCTACTCATTAAATGTGCAAATGACACTAAACTGGGAGGAGCAGCAAAAACACAAGGAGATAGAGACAGAATTCAACAAGATCTGAACGTACCCCCAAGAGCACTTCGGTCGGGGACCCAGAACCGTTTGGTGATTCCGGGTCCCCGAGAGGTAAAGCTTGCAATGACAAGGGCTAGATCTTTCTCAGTGGCGGCCCCTACCTGGTGGAATGAGCTCCCGGAAGAGATCAGGGCCCTGCGGGACCTTGTGCAGTTCCGCAGGGCCTGTAAAACGGAGCTCTTCCGTCAGGCCTATATGTAGGAGCCGCCGCTGCCACCACCACCGATGGTGGCAATACCATCGGGAACTGCCCTTGGTAGCCTCTGTGGCAATGAGATCTACGCAGTAATGAGAATAATGGATTGGCATGAACCATCTACGGGGCAGTGGTATCCAAATGGGGCTGCTGGAAGAAACCATCACAACCATCTAAGGCCATCTCGATACTGAAAGCACTTTATTGTTGTTAGTACTGTTACTGTTTATGGTTTTATTGTTTTACTGGATTTTATGTATGGGCCTGCACCCTCTGTAAGCCACCCTGAGCCCGCTTGTGGGGAGGGCGGGGTAGAAATGTCTAAATAAATAAATAAATAAACATGCTGGAAAAGTGGGCAGATGTGAACAAGATGCAATTTAACAAGGACACCCAGCTCTATCTGATGTTGGGCGGCTGGTCAGACTCTAGACCAGAAGACCTGGACCGGGCATTACAAGCCTTGGCTGGTTGGCTTAGGCTGAGTTGGCTGAAACTGAATCCGATGAAGACGGAGGTCCTGTGCTTGGGTTGGGGCAGTCTGGGTGTGGGGATCCCACTCCCGACCTTCGATGGGGCGCCATTGGTGCCAGCGTTGGAGGTTAGGAGTTTGGGAGTGCTCCTGGATGCCTCCTTAACAATGGAGACCCAGGTAGCGGCCACTGCCAGGTCGGGCTTTTACCATCTTCGTCTGATTAGGCAGTTGGTTCCCGTCCTTGACTGCGCCGACCTAGCAACAGTGATCCATGCAATGGTCACCTTGAGATTAGACTACTGTAATGCTCTCTACATGGGGCTGCCCTTGTCACAGATTTGGAAGTTACAGCTAGTGCAGAATGCTACTACTAGGACCAGGGCTTTTTCAGTGGTGGTCCCATCCTGGTGGAATGAGCTCCTGGAGGAGATCTGGGCCCTGCAGGATCTCGTACAGTTCTGCAGGACCTGCAAGACAGAGCTCTTCCACCAGGCTTTCACCTAGGGAGGCCCCACCACTATAGAGCCCTGGCCTTTGGTTATTGACACCTAGCTTAAGCCGTAGGAAGATCTTGAGCAGAACGACATCTAAGCTTTGAAAGTAAACTCTGAAAGTACGCCATCTTGAATGACTAACCAACATTTTCAGCACTTTATGATATTGTATTAACTATAATGGAAATGTTTTAGATGATTTTATGTTGTTTTAATTGTATTTATGTACTGATTGTGAGCCACCCTGAGCCTGCATTGTGGGGAGGGCGGGATACAAATGTGACAAATAAATAAATAAATGATGAGTTCTACATCTGGGTAACAAAAATGAGGAACATGTATACTGAATGGGGGATACACTTCTGAGTAGCAGTTTATGTGAACAAGATCTTGGGGTACAGGTGGACTAAAAGTTAAATATGAGCAGCCAGTGTGATGCAGTGACAAAAAAGGATAATGCAGTCATGGGGTGTATCAACAGAGGCATAACATCCAAATTGCAAGATGTCAGCCCCACTGCACACTGCCACACCTGGAGTCTTGTGTGCAGTTCTGGAGGCCTCGCTTCAAAAAGGATGTGGACAGAATGGAGTGGGTACAGAGGAGAGTGACGAAGATGATCGGGTGATGAGGATGATCGGGGGCCTGGAGACCAAGCCCTATGAGGAAAGGCTGAGGGACTTGGGAATGTTTAGACTGGAGAAGAGGAGGTTGGGGGGGACATGATTGCTCTCTTTAAGGATTTGAAGGGCTGTCACTGTTGGCAGAAGAGGACAGGACTAGCAATAATGGGTTTAAATTAAGGGCAGGAAGGTACCAACTGGGTATTAGGATTGGGCTAGATGGCCTGTATGGCCCCTTCCAACTTTGTGATTCTAAATAGTTATACCAGTGGTTAAATGAATGCAAGGCAATATTGCTTATTTTTGTTGTCATCTGTGTTTGCAGGCTTTTTATGACTTCCACTGTGGCTCAAATGATGTCTGATGGAGCAACACCCATTTGTTGAAATCTGGATCTGTCTCCCCACCACGTAAAAAGCCAAGGGCACCTGACAGCTAGGGCAAAAGCAGTGCATGAGTAGAGCCTGTAGCTTGTGTCTTGAGACCCCACTCAGCTCTTATACTGGGATTGAATCTGATTTGGAGAAGGAAAGGGGGGGGGGAGAAAGAGAGAGAGAGAGAGAGAGAGAGAGAGAGAAAGAGAGAGAGAGATGCAGTAATATAAGCAAGTTCAGTCTCTTCACCTGTGTGTTCCCTTTGTCTGAAAAACAAATCCTCCACTCCTGGCTTCATATCTTACTGGTGTTATACATTGGCTTAAAAATGTGGGTCTATTGTTGTCACATTAGATGGAATTTCCTATATCACATAAGGAACAATAAGCAGTGATAAGGAGAACATCAAGATTTGCAGTCCCATCCTAAATAAATTTATGGCCTAAATCTATTTCTACATCAATGTTTACCACTGCGATCTTTGAGTTGGATCCTAATGGAAGTAATTCAGAGAGTGGACTTTCCACCCAGAGCTAACTCCCCCAAGCTACTTCTGAAGGTTCAGGAACCATTAAAACACAGTGGGATGTGGCATATGGAGGGAAGGAATTGGCAGAAATTGCACTCCTGTTGTGCAAATGCTTGCTTCAGTTGCAGAACAGAGGGGAGGAGTTGATTTCTGCTGTTTTCAGCCTCCCCTCTCCATGCTGCATCCTACTTTGTTTCCAGTCTTCAGGAACAACTTTTCGAGGTGCACAGGAGGCTGAAAGGGATGGGAGAATGAACTTTCTCCATTAATGATTTGTACGAATCAACCCTTTGCAGCCACCACATAATCTAAAAAACTTGTACACTTAAGGAAGTAGAATTTTGTGATCTAGAATTTTTTAGATCACCATTCAGTACAATTCAGTAAAACCTTAATAAAAAAGGTAAAATAAAGGTTTCCCTTGCTCAAAAGCCAATCGAATCTGACTCTAGGGGGCGGTGCTCATCTCTGTTCCCAAGCCAAAGGGCAGTGCTGTCCGAAGACTTCTCCGTGGTCATGTGGCTGGCATGACTAAATGCCAAGGCGCATGGAACACTGTTACCTTCCCACTGAAGCAGTACCTATTTATCTACTTGCAATTTCTTGCTTTTGAACTGCTAGGTTGGGAGTAGCTGGGGCCAGAGAAGGGAGCTCACTCCATCTTGCGGCACTAAGGTCTTGAACTGCCAGGCTACAGACCTTCTGTTCTGCAACTCAGCATCTTAACCTCTGAACCACCATGGCCCTAAAAAACCTAAATACAAGACATCAATTAAACTGGAGCTTTGAAAATAAAATTACCAGATAAAAACAAATCAACCTCCTAATGACTGTGTGTAAGAAAACTGAGTCGTAAAAACCCTTTTTGTTATTCCCACATTGTGCCTTCAGGCAGCCTTCTCTAAAGATATGACTTCACCATAACTTTTAGTTTTATCTGCCAGAATCTGTCAGCTTAGGAGAACAGTTTGCAATCATTCAGACAGGGACCTTGAGCTAGTATTTGTTGAGTTACCGTACCCAGAGGTTACACAAAGCTGGCTGCTATATACTAAATGTCCTGTTCATTAAACTTTGCACCTCACTATGTATATAGTCAGATGATGACAAAAGGATAAAATAGGAAAGCTTCTAAAAGCTATTTTTTTAAAAAAACTCTTAGTCATTCTGAAGCACTATAATTAAAAGATGAAGGAAAAATTAAATGTACTGAAGTAGAAAATATGATTAATACACAGCATGTTTAGCAAAGTCTTCACTTTCTAAAGGCCAAACTAGGCTGACCCATCTGATTAAACATGAATCTTCCCCACCTGTATATAAAGCCAGCAGGGGAAGGGTCTGATTGCAATAGCCAAAGGGGATCCTTGGCAGCAGTGCTAAATGTTCCACCCTCTGCATAGCCTATCTTTGCTCATTCCTTTTTACACTGACACCAACGTTATTGCTCAACAGAGGCTAAGGCAGGCAACCATGGGGCACAGGGAATGTTTAATTTCTCATATACTTCTTATACCTAGCAGGCAGTGAAATACCATCCCCTCACTTTATGTGTGAGAAGCTGGGAGCCCAAAAGGGTTTGTAGCAGAAGGACAATTCAAAAATACTCCCATCGCTGCAAATCTCTCATCCTC